AGCAGTTCAACAAAAAATTGGCTTCATCTTAAAGAATTAATAGACCGCCGCTTATAATGTCAGGTGGCTCAAGTAAGAACGTCAATTGGTTATCTTATTGGGGTTCTGGTATAATGTAAAATGAAATTTGTTTCGCATTTTTTACGATTCGACGCATGAAAAGCAGTTTGAATAAACGAATGATTATTTTTATCAATTGTTTGGATAATAAACAAACCTTATTACGTATACATTTTGCCGTGATGAGCTGCCAAACTACATTAACAAGCTAATGACAATTCTGCAATTATAGAGGAAGCTGCTGGAAACCCTTTAGCTCAAAAATGAATAGAATAAGTACCTATACATAATCCACTGTTGAGTTCATAGCAGAAAAGCCTTCATCCAACATTTATTCATAAAAAATACAATTAACATAATTGCCTAATTATCAAAGTGAAGATAAAGATGGATATACGATAGGTATATATAGTATTTACAACTTTCTTCTCTCTTCTCTTCTCCCTACAGCCGATAAAACAATCTTATGTGGAAATTAATTATTATGATAACAATATTAAGGTACAAAATTGTCGTTGATTGAACATAATTAGTTTTATTCGAACTAATTTGATAGCTATTATTTTAAAATAATTCCCTGGCGGTAGTACCTTTCCGTGTACGGGTTATTCATCAAACGTCACCAATGAAGTATTGGTCATGTTTGTAAATGAGTAGTTCATCGCCCAAAGGACCCATTAAATCAGTCCCTTTACTTGTTTTAGAAAATATTGCTCAACAGCGCAGCGCAGGTAGAAGCATCTTGAAATTATTTATCTCGTTATTTATGGAAAGAAACAAATCAAATTTTCTGTAAACAGAATGGAAACACTGGGTTCTGCCAGATGTGTTCACTAGCATTTTCATAAAAGACCCAAATGAAACTGCATCAAACTGTAGGTAATAGTAATACAGAAGAATATGGTGCGTTTCAAGTGGCTCTAAGGACGGAGTCGGTCTACTGAGTTACCGAGTATACATTGCATAGGCTACTGGGAATGACGCTGGCACACTTGGACGTATTTTCATTTATTAATTATTATATGAACAATGTTGTTATTGTATTGACTCCTCCTAGAACTCCTCAGTCCTAATATACAACCAGTCTAAGCTTTTCTTTGACCTAGCATAAAATGTACGTGCCATTTTTCACTTAACTTTTTAGTCATATCACCAAATTCTGGGCAACAAACATTGGTAATTAAGCACCGAAAACGCTCCAACGAGGCTCCAAATGTAGGTACACTTAATAAAAAAATAACGAGGTAGGTGTAGTACCTAATAATACTCATTATTGACAAAACAATCATAATAGCCAGTTTCTATTACCAGTAACTACATAATTGTTAATGATGCGGAATCTAACTATGTACATGTTTCAAATTAACCTTGTAATATATTGTAGTTGACCTGTGTAACACAATTATAGGGATAGTTGCCATGATTGTACATACAATAATGCGACCAACAGTTAGGATGTGTTAGGATGTAAATTTTCAGTGCTTCTAGAGCAGTAAATCATTTTCCGTCTAATAACTGAAAATTTTATAAATAACTGGAGCAGGTGTCGTCTACTACAGGTTTATTTATTAGTAAAAAGGAAGGTCACGGTTATCTACATGCTTAATCGAAGCGCGTGGTCTAAAATAAATTAATGCTGTATTCTTGCTTCTATTTGCTTCCATAAATTACCATAACCATGCATAAAAACTGTAACTATGCTTCCCAAATAAATCTGCATCTTTTCTTTAGAGAACAAGTTTCGATTTTTTGTTTAAAATAAAAAATTGAAACAGATAACCTTACACGTGCACTTTACAAAAATTAAGATTATCACTGCGAAACAGTTCAGTACAAGATAACCCGCGGCCTTAGATCGTAAATTAAAAAAGATTTGGTTGTAGCAAGGGTTCCTATAGGATGTCTCCAAAAATCAAAATATAGTGTCTACAGTTTTACCACAAATGAAACCTCGATCGCGTTCTATAAAATGAGATTAAATTCCAGCTTCAAATTTTATGTAGTCTGCCTGCTTGAGTCGCACGAGTTTAATTAAAAGTGGAGGTATTTGTACATACCTAATATTAAAGCTGCAGGCGTTTCGAGCTAAACACCTATTAAACACGACCAATTGATACAAATGAGGCCTACCAATACAATTTGTGTGTTACTGCAAGCCTTGAATATCAAATACAATTCACAGCTATTTCCCTTTAACAACATCGTACAAATTCACATCTTTAAATAGGTTTCCCAATATGAATTTCATTTGCATTTGTCACACTTTAATTTGAAGCTCTCTAATGTGGAACATCACGGAAATTGAAAGATTTGGAAATGTAGCTCAAAGACAATATTAAATAATTAAATAAATACTATATTAAAAACAGCTACGGTATTTAAAAATTGCAAGTACAATAACCTTTAAATGATTAGAAATGTCTGAGATATCTGAAAATATTATTCAAATTGTATTACGAAATATCTCTGAAACATTTTTAATTTCTGTTTATAAATATCTTAGTTAGACATTTGAATTGTTGTACGTACATACAATCCAAACATTTCAGGCAAAGGCAAATTTACACCACTTGTCGCAGGCCGAGAATGCTGTGTACAGGAGTTCGTTATTTCTGGAAAATAAATAGCATTTCTTGCATTGCAAAATCTATTCCTAGAGGGGCAATCCACAAAATAGGATTTTAAAATTTTCAATTAACATAATCTACGATATTTTAAATTAAATAACCTCCATTCATATTCAATTATTCTTCGAAATCTTTAAATTAGACTAAATCGGCATTTTATAGAAACTGGAATTGTTAATTCTCTGGTATTTTCACATTTAGTTTCATCAAGTTTTCTTAGTCGTTTAGCAAACATTATCACGTTGTAGTTACATATTTAAGAGCTCGTTGCCTAAACCGCCCCCAATATGTTTTATTATTAACGTAGCAATTTAGTATGACTTTATTATAACATAATCACTGATAATTTCACCTTTTAGGTATGTATGTCATATTAGCTGGCACCTCGGCTGGCACGCTATGAAATTACTGACAGTGACATTGTTGCTCTTGGATCAAGATAGTTTCCCTAATTCTTAATCTATTTACGAGTCTATTTAACAATTTGGAACGGAATCGATAAAACATCCTTAGAAGAGAATAAACTTTAAATGCTATATAGCATTATGGTCTTGGTAAGAATTTTGGATTAAGAATGCACACAAACGTAATTTCACCATCAACTTTTTTGATAATTTATAATTACCTCAAAACGGGACACTTGGGCGCCGCACATCCGCAGCCGAGAAGCAGTAAACATTTCTGAGGAATGGGTGTAGGTATATAACCGGTAGCTTCAACCCCCAGCATCTGATACAATTCTGGAACCTACGCGTCAGCACATGCGGAATTTGATAACGTAGTTGTTTTTGAATATTTGCGATAATGCAAGCTGCACATAGCTAATGTTTCATTTGATAAATGAACGAAGTGAATATATTGGAGCACGAGGAGCCAAAAGGATACTTTCATAGATGGTTCCATTACTTTTTCTTAAGGAATGCTTAATGTCATTACAAGTTATGGGCTCTCCTTTTAATTATAGCAGTGATGAAAGTTTTTATTTTGCATGATCCAACATTAACACAAAAAACTAATTTACCTGCACTGCACTGCAAGTTTTCGACCTGGAGATAGTACATTTTAAACTCGCTTTTGGACTCGCAACTAGACCAACCATCCAAACCGAAGTGTAAACCAAATAAGAAGAAGTGAGTTATGGCATGTATTAACGATTGAGTGTTTCTTGAGAATGGTGTTGGAAGGAAGAAGAATGACAATGATCAGCGGTTGAAGGGAAGAGAAGAGTATGCAATGATGAGAAGAGTTGCTGACAACAAGAAGTGGCAACGCCAAGCACCGGCGCGAGCCGAGCACCGTTGATGACGACTGTTTGAACAGGAAGAAGAACACATCCATATCCATTAACGAATATGATCTGCAAAATTCGAAAACTATCTTTGGAAGATATACTGGCTAAGATTCAGCAAAGTTCGCCATGATTGAAAGGCGATTTCCTGTGACCTCAAGTGGAGTTTTTAATCATAGAAATACACGTCTAAAGTAATCTTATCAGCGAACAAATAGCTCGAATTTACGATATCGTAAAAAAGACCAAAAAAATTATTTAATGTCTCCGTTTAATATCGTAGGATTACGTTAACGGAAATCTAAGGAACGAACGTAAACATGGAATCCCTATTTGTATAATGCATAAAGTCATAATCTACTATTTTAAGATAAGCATGTGACCTATTCTCTGCCAATTTGTTCAAAAGGCGAATATATATTTTAGTACCGCCAGTTAAATGTCAGAATGAGAAAAGATCGGCTTGGCAGGATTGCACATACGGAAAACCTTTGTTTTGTATTATTTAAATTACACATATTAAATAAGCGTAAGTGTGTATTAACGTTAGGAGCAAAGTTCATCCAGTCTCTTGGTGAAGTACTTAATCTTATTTTGAGGAATAGATAGGACAATTTTCTTTTTTTACAAAAATAAACCTAAACAATTTAGCAAGGCCGGTGTAGAATGTAGACGTCACGGTAGTAAAAATAACATCCTCATGTGCTCGACGTAAAAATAGTTTTTACACTTTTAGTTGCAATAATTAATGCTCTTCAAATTCCATTCATTAAACATTATAGTTTTAATCGCTACATACGCATGCGCCACCTACTGTTAAACCATGTGATTGTAATTTCATCTTTCAAAAATCCTCAATTTTGCTCTTATTCTCACGAAAAGTTCTTAATTATATACTTCACACACACGTGTGAGTAAATGGAGTAATCATGCTAATTATCTGATCAAGCGAGTTGTTCCTGCGCAAGGATTTTGCAATAGGCAATCCATTTGATTATTGTAGCAAATTGGTGGAGAAATCTTACCATTGAGTAAAGGGTAATTGTGTCCGGGATGTCCCAAAAATGATTTTAATCCGCTCTCCAATAATATCGGAGAGCCACGGTCCTTATAACTCATCTCACTATCACTATCACTAAAATAATAAGTTGAGCGCGGAATTTTGGCGGATTTTTTTAAAACACGCGAAATTTCTAAAACACACGGAAAACGCACCACGGCAGTTTAAAGTTGCATAAATAACACGAGGTTCGACCGCGGAACTCGCAATCAATTCATACCAAAATAGTCTGGTAGCGACTTTAGTGCTCTCTCTCGCGGCCAAAACTTAACGCCGCCGTAGCAGTAGTCCAAGGTTGATAACAGACATGATATCGCATTGAGAAAATTACACATGATAGTAACAATTAGCTCGCTTATTGTTGGAAATTCGAGCCGAAACATAACCAATCTTGAAAAAACATGACACAATTTTCTAAATTTTCCGCCTTCTCTGCGGCTGCGCCTCGACTAGGGTGCGCACGTTCTACTACTTCCCTAGTTTCGCATCGATTCCTGACGATCCCTAAATGTGTTTTTCTTACAATCACGTTACCTACATTAAAAAAAATTGTGATTTCCGGTATTATAACGGAATTAATTATTAAGCGTCAACGAACTTTCTCGCAACAGATTATCACATACAGGATGGACGTGCTTTTTAAGCGTCGTTTTCCTTGAACAGTTACTCAACTCTCTCATTATATACCTGAAGGCTTTTCTTGTAAAAATTATCTTGCCTATAAAAATTCCAATTAAATTAGCATCAACGAATTTTTATGAGAATTTCGTTCCCCATTGTTTTAATTTTTCAATTTTACCGGCGTTTAGCTCCTCTCCATTTCGACTACAACACTTTTTGTAACTCTTCTTAGGGGATATTGCCATCGCAAACATAAGAAAACTGGGTTGAAGTATCAATTTAGTATTTTTGTTTGTAGCCAGAAAACCAGAGAATTTAGAGCCACAATTGGCGCTAAAGTCAAAAAGTAATTCATTCTCTACACTACATCCTTTCTGTCTTTTATATGAACTTTTGGAAAAAAATTGTGGAAATAAGGGGGGGGGGATACTCCACAACTGCGACGACCAGATTTTGCAAAATAACCCACAGGTACCTAGATTCGTCTCTTAAGAAAACGTTATGCCTTCGTCACCGAAAAAGTTGTAATAAAATAAGAAACTGCTACCAAAATAATATTATTTAAACTTTAAAATTCGTCCCAAAATATTCAGCAGCAGTTGATTCACCAAAAAAACTCCCAGGTAGATTAATCTCTTAAGAACATTTTTAAAAATTTGGCTAAAACCATAAATAAACTTGCTTTAGAGGAAATCGTACCTTTAAAACATTCGCTCAAGAAAAATTAAAACCCGTAGTCACAATTCGGAAAAGTGACATAACGGAAAATTCGCTTACGCGCCTGAACTCCTCTACGTGGGATATGCTCATAAGAAACCTCGCTTCTTCACCCGTGGAAACTTAGTCTTAGTAGTCAATATCATTTCTTTAGAAAATTTGCTATAAAAGAAACTTTTCACCCGAAATAGTTGTAATATAAAATAGCCCACAGAAATTAGGTTACATGAATTCGTCTGAGGAAAATATGATAACCTCTTTCCAGGTGAATTTGATTCTGATACAATTTTTCAAAAGAAAATTCGCACCTGAAATAGTCGTAAAAATGCAACGGATCTTCCACAAAAAATTTGCCTCAGAAGTAGCCCCTAGGCAGAATCATCTTTTGGAAATTTTCTATAAGTTGAGTTCGTAAAATTTAATTAGGGGAGAATTCGGCTACACAAACACGTCCAAATAGAACGTGCTTCAGGTGATTTTTATACTTAGAGAAAATGTTCTAAACGACATAGAAGTGTAGTTTACGTCGCCCCTAAAATACCGTAAAATAGTATTTAAGATATTCTTGTTACCTTATATGATTAGCGTGATTTAATAAACGACATGATTATATTTTGGATGACGACGTAAACTTGTACCATATTTTGATTAGGAATCGGGCTGAATTATGGAAATAGTGTAGATTGCAGAAAGTGTCGGGCGTTCGTTTTTCAGGTTTTCATTTTTACTTCAAGTTTGAGCAATTAATATTTTGAAGTATAAAGCTTGCAGCATTGGATTTAATAGGTACATACTAATACTTGGACGTTTGAAGCATGAAGACTTGGTCTACTATTTCGAAAAATGGGACCTTCCCTGTGGGCCAGCCTGTCAGATGTCTAATCTAATATAAGAATATTATTTTCCAACATAAGGCGAAATCATGTAGTGCGAACTGAATTATGCTGTGTTGGTTGTGCAGGCCGTAATACCACCATCACATGATACTACAAAGTTGTAGTATCATGCCTTGTAGTATCATGCCACCATCATTATAATATATAAACCGTTATAACACAAGCCGGTACAGTCACTTTTTTTGGGTCCGTGAAGTACCCGTATCGCAATATTCATTTGAGGAATATACAATTATGTTGACGTCATGTTGTAGTATTTTTGGCCTTACCATAAGAATGGTTTGCTTTTGTGGTTTTCGAATTTCTTACCTTACTCGAAGTACCAATTTTCTAACATGCATAGCTTCTCTTTCAAACGTCGTATTGAAGAATTGTTAGATACTTTTGTTCTTAAGTATTTACCTAAAGATCATGCACAAGACATTCTGAACACTTTGATTGTCCGGTCAAGAACTGCAGATCTTTTATAATTTACAAAAACGTATTGCATATTCGGAATTTCAATGTTAACAGACCGCCGAATACAAAATTCCGACAAAATCAGAATTTTTCCTCACCCACGTTTATATATAAACTATCTCTGGAACTATTGATCCGATTTCATTATTAATTTTTTTAATGGAAGCTCTTTATGTGTGCTACACATTTTGTCATATTACCCAGAAGTGTTTGAAGCGAGCAAAATCAGCCCTAAGAAAAACTGTGTACGCAAGGCAATTCATGTTTTTCTGATAAGAAGGGAAGTCGATCTAGGGAACCATTAGTTCAGGTTCTTCGCGTTAACACTGATAAGAAACCTCGTGAAATTATATAGAAAAATGTAGGAAATCATTGCAGCAATGTCTAGAGATAGGGTAGCTGCAGAAGCATGTTATCATAAATATTTTTACCTCCAGTGTAGCATTTGAAGAGCTTAAATCCTACCGCACTTCAGGGCATCACTTAAAATTAATTAATTATTATTAGGTAAATGTGTATGTATTTGTTATCCATTTACATACATTATATAAACAAAGAAAAGATGCTGTATAAATGCTGAGACTTTCTAGGTCGATTAATTTCTTGTTTAATGAATTGCGATCATAGGTAATATTTCCAGTAATTGATGTGTTTTCCCGTTCAGCCACATACTGGAGTCAATCTGACATCTGAAATATGACACAAGATAATACTGTCGTACAGGTTTCCATAAAGGGCTAAGATTCACAATGGAAGCCCTTTTTTACCCAGAGAATGATATGCGTATCATGTGTCTATAGATCACGGATACATCTCTATAAAGGTGAATGCATCTACCAACAGCTTCCAGGCAGAAGAAAGTTGCAATATTCCAAACAGGAACAGTGCGATAATTGAAATTGGCATTGTTTGACCTTGATATCGTCACACAAATTATTTACAAAACATGAACGGTTGCTTTAGTAAAAGTTCAATGTTACAGTAACCCCCTTTAATTATCTAAGTAAGATAAATGTTTTGGAATAAGTTAATGGTTGAATAAATACATTTTCCCAATAATAATCTTGTCAGCATTTATAATATTTCTTTCTTTTTGCCATAAATCTAGTCTTTTGGCACCTGCTGTCCAAATATATGCGGCTGAATTTTTAACAAAGGAATAACTGCAAAGCTCGCTGTTGAGGTGGTTAGAAGTGTAAAATAACTGCTTTGCTTGCTGAACTGTTCGTGCAACTTAAATGACATTGCATACACTATCTAATCTCCTTTCGAATATAAAAAAAGTAAAATTTAATTACGTTTTACGTAAATTTATGTTTCGTGCAACTTTTATCTCAAGTGTTGGTTAAATTAGCAATATAAAACTTTTTCCGGGTTCTGGAGAAGCATCAAATTTGACTGACATTTTCATTTTCTATGTGCCATCTTGCTTCATTAGTTTACAAAGCTGATTTATGACATCTCTGTCCAGAGCACGGCAACTCGAGATTACCAGCTTCTGTAATGATACGATATGTCGCTGTTTAAGGTTGACCCTTACATAAAGATAACAACGATGCCAAACATTGGGAAACCATCCATTTAAAATTCCCAAGTCGTCAAATAGCGAAGAAACCAGAATGACACGTTTTCGAAAGATTGTCGATGAAACCACTTTCGATGGAATTTTAAACCGGGATTTCGCCTTATTCGGTCGAAGCAAAGGGTACATAGAAGTTGGAGATGATAGATTTTGCATGCCGCGGGTCTAGATTATATCGAACCCATTAAAAATTTTCGTATTCGCGATGAGGACGTCTTCGTCAGGTCAGGTAAGAAATTAGCGTAATTAAATGGTGCCTAAGGAACGAGATGGACGAATAGTTAGTGTGGCTAATTATTAATAATTTCAATTTAGCATCATCCGTAAGACAGTTGGCGGAATTTTTAGGAAAAATAGTTTCAGAAGACAGCTTGCCGAAGATCTGCAATCATTTAAGCTTTGACTCGATGAAAAAATGGATTCCTTTAACTTAAATTATCCCGGTAAGATTTACAGTTCCGGTGTAAATCACTATGTTCGTACGGGAGATATCGGTGTACATAAAGCTTAAGCTAAGCTCCACTTAAATTTGTCGGTGCAAACGGCCATTAATCAAGCATATTATGCATCAAAATTCTCAGAAAAATGTACAGATTCCCAATAAAAAATACTTTCCTATTTTATACCACCCATTAAATTACTATCCTATTCAAAAAGGTGAGAATGAAAAGGTGGGATCTTGAGTGATAACTATGGCAAGGCAAAACAGTAAATAATTTCAATATCTCAGCTCTTCCGGCGCTTTAACTGCACAGGATGTCATGTTTGCCTTCTACCGATGTCAAATTCATTAGTGCAATCAAAAATTTTGTCCTGATCTAAGAATTATATCTGTTTTTGAACACTCCTTGACTGAAAAACTATTATTTGAACTGCGTGGTGTAAGCATTCCGATGACTGCAGATAGGCAACACATGATACAAGGAGCCAACTACCGATTTTCTCGATTTATTTTTCAAAATTTATTCCGATGGCCTTCAAAAAGTATTTTGCAATTCATTTTTGTTTTCCAAAAAATCGAAAAAACGGTAACCTGTAGCCCAGGTTCTTGAGAGGAAGATGGTATGGAAAATTTAAAACATCACTCTTCTTAAAGTTTCTAACTACAACTGAAAATACTTGATACATAACTAGAATAAATACTTAAAAACGACAACTAAGTAACACCACACAAGGAAAATGAATTTTGAAAATCGTTTACATTAAAGCCATGTTGTTAGAATTAGAAGGGGTTTACCCCAAAGCGAAAAAATAAAAAAATACTATTTGTACACACATTAAAAGCCTACGTTTTTTATAAATTATCACAATTAACATTAAAATCTCTTAAGTACAAATGGCGAAAAAATTCAGTGCGACATCTCGACTTAGACCCACAGCACTTTTAACGGCTTATCCGTATCGGTAGGTGTCGAGTTCCATCGTTTATGATTGGTAGGCGTTCGTTTATTTTCAGGCGTTTGCCATAGCTGAAAATCGGTTTTTGTACAGGGCTCTTTCGGTTCCTCGACGACGGTCGAGTTGGTTAGCGGTATTCCCAACTCCTGAAATGAGTTCATTGAGGAGAACCCGCTTTCGTCTTCAGCCGAGCTCACGCTGCTCAGTGCTGGAGAAGATTTTTCGATATTAAACTTCCGGTTTTTGATGTCCGTTTGGGCATCCTCGTTCAAGGTGGAGGAAGGAAGCATTTCGAGGTGGAATGAGTTGCGTTTCGAATGGTGCAGAGAAAGTTTGCGATTGAAGGCGGTGGATATTCTGATGTCCCTGTCGGGCGGCGCGCAAATCTGGAGACTGGAGGAGCAGCGCGAGGCGGGTCGGTGAGTTCCGTTCTCCTGTGTGCGTGGGAATTCCTTCGCCAGCTGCTCGAGGAATTTTAGATCTTCGGATGCGTCGTGATTTAGCTGAGCCAAGTCTGGCGCCGTTGTGTTCAGTAGGGATTGGGCGGTTCGGAGTAGTCGAAAAGCTTCTTGGGAAAGTTTTTCGGGGGGAATCTCGTCTGGAGGTTGTTGGGCTTTCTTCTGCCGCCGCCTGTAGGAAATCAAAGTTAGAATGATACCCGTCGTATTTTTAGGGTTACCACGTAAAATCTCTAAACGCCGTATACTCAGGAAGCGCATCGATTGCGGGAACGGTTGATCTTCTCTGGTCGACGGTACTATCCAGCAATTGATTCATGTGGTAGTCGCTTTGGGCCCTTAACACTGAGGAATTTGAGGGAACTTTTGAACCTAATATTTGCAAACTGCGGTATGCACGTTCGAGAAATTTGACTACTTGAGTCATAACCTCTTTGTACATCTCCTTACTGGATTCCGTCTAAAAATTCGAGTTTATAAGGTTTGTCTAATTCTCCCAATCTACCTGTTTTAATTGCCATTGCAACGTCTCAATTTGCGTTTTAAGCAGTAGATTTTCGATCGGCATTTCGGCTATGCGACTCGAACACGCCGACGACCTTCTGCTATCACTTACGTAATGTCCTCCAGCAAAGCACTCCTGAAACGAAACGTGTTTTAGATTGTTAAACAATACAATTGTGCGTGAAATCAGTCTTCCTGTTTCCTATGCGATATGATGTTAATTAACAAGCTATAATTACACGTACTCTTCTCTATGGTTAGTAAACATTATGGGAATTTACGAGCTATCTCTATCTGTTGGTAAATATAATAGGAAAAGTACAGTTGAAGAGTCACGACAACTTGTACAAATTCTCACAGAGTATATTATTTAATGATGAGCCGTTAATACGAGTATTGTTTTTTATTACAGTATCTACAATTTGTTTTGCTGTGATTTTAAAATTTCTCCCAAGCCGAATATGAAAAGGTGGAAAAATGAAAAATCGTATTGAATAACTACTCACTTCTTTAATCTATTTGTTTTATTTTATGCAATGGTAGGCGCAATGCAATGAAATGAAACTGATGATTTTTTTACCTTTGGTTGGTAAAAATTTAAGAGTATCTAAAATAATGGTGGACTAAGCACAAGTATGCTTTTGTATATCGCACGTTAAATATTAGCATTGAGTAGTTATCCTTCACTCAACGGTATTAGTTCGAATTGTTGAGTTCGTCTTTACATACCTACATCGCTTTATACGGATAGAAATTAAAATAGTATAGATTGTTCTACAATTAAAGCATTAGTGCTCGTGGATTAAACATTTAGATTCACTAGAAAACACGCTTTTTTAGTGCGTTTAATATACTATTTTTTTAGTATACTTGATAGAAAAGCTTCAATTGACGTGCGCATTTCTAAACAAAATTTACACAAATCACTGTGAAAAAATAAGATATTAAGTAAGGACCTTCCATGGTTCTAATCTGTAAAATGCCACAAAACATTCAATGAATGGAGAGCAGGAAACATGTAAAGAAAATTAGTTACTGAAAAGCACACAGCGCCAAAATGTGATAAAAAGGTGACAGATAAAAAAAAACGCAAATACACTATAAACTATAAGATAGGTATATAGAGACACATTAAATGAAAAGAAGCCTTTCAAATGTCATTGGCATTCTATTAAAAAATTAAGTTTTCATTGTTTTTGTAATATAATTGGACAAAAACCATTGACTAGCGTTGCCCATAGCTCATTTTCTAATATTTGAATATGCACAACTTAATTATGAAAAAATATCAATAAGGCAAAGTTTTCCAATCAAAGCTAAAGAACAGAGAACTTGAAGACTGTAAAACCTTATGGAACACGACCCTTAAAAGCCGGTATAAGTTTTAAAATGTTTTAAAAAACTCGTGAAAGCTCTTAAAGGAACTACTCTTAAACCATCTTGAAGCTTATTACAAATTTGCAAGGATTTTCTAAAGCCTAAAAACCAGCCTTGTATTTGCAATAATTCCCGTTTTATTTGTTCAATTAACGAACCTAAAATGACTATTGTCTTCGAAAACTGGATATGCTGTAAGAGGATAGCTACCCCAACAATGATCACATCAGAAAATATCCGATGGTTATTTGAGAGCAATAATTAGAGGTACACTTTTATCAATCGATGCGAAGTTAACGGTATACAATATTCATAAACTGGCGCAATGGATGTATGGAATTTTTCAATACAATAGACTCCCATGGCAGAAACAAAAATGTCGATTGACCCTAATCCACCCATAACTAAGAAAATTACCAGGTTTGTATATACATTCAAACTTGCATTCCTTGTAACCACCAATTTCAAGCATCAAATAATTTTGTAAACGACCCATCTGAAAATCTTTCTCAGGATATATTCCACAAGTCAATTACCTACAGCTGTAAGTTGACAAATGACAAGCAGTAACTAACCCGAGAACTAACCACTGTAACAGTATAATTACAGGCCGTTACAACAGAATTATATCATTTCCGGTCATCATCAAAACAAACTCCCCACTGATGAGCGAAGGTAATTATATTTCCAGCCCGACCTCTATATGTTTCAAAATGGCCATCCCCAGTGAAGGCCGCGACAAGACAGTCTTTGTCTCCGATTTGTTCCACCGACAAAGGCGCTAATTAAAAATTTCTTTTCTTAAGTCACACAATTAATTAAAGCTTTCAACATCTCAATAATCGCGTTGGCATTACCTAACGGTTCTATAATAATAATAAGAAAAAAATCAATGCTTATAGATGTACCCAAAGAAGACTAGATAAATAATTAATACTCCGCTAGGAAGATTGCTATTTTTCTATTATTTATAATACACGTAGAGGTTATTAATCGCGCTATAAATTCACACGGACTCGCGAGATTCCTCCTGTATAGAAAGGTGTGGCATCTCTTCAATTTGATACGAGCAGGAAATGACACTACCAAATAATGGTAACGCATGTGACAAACTTCGATCTTACTTTCTTTTCTTGTTGGTGCGTGACTTTTACGTTTAGTAGACCAAGAACTTTGGTATTTTGCGAAGTAATTTTTTTCCTAATAATTTGAACTAAGTGAGTATGCCGATTGTATTGAAGATCAACCTTCAGTAAAATAATTTGTTTCCAATAATTCAACGCAAAATTGTGCAAATGGAATGATGAACGTTGTGGTTAATATCAACTAAGAAAAATGAAACGATTTTCCTCCCTCGTTACGCTCGTTGATTTCTTTTTATCACCAATGTGCAGACAAAGCCGCCTTAGTATACTTACCTTAGATTAATTGTCGTGGAAAAATAGTTCTTATACACCCAACAACCGAACTCATAATTATGAAAATAAGTGCTCGGTTAAACTTTTTCGACATGTAATTTTTCGTTTCGTCCGACCGTCTAACTCGCAAGTGAAAAGAGTCCAACAATTATCAATGAGTGAACGGGTTCACGTTTGACAGTGTTTTAAGTTAAAAGAGCTAAAAGTTTAAACTCCCGGATCAAGATTTAAGACTTAAGTGTTGCTAGTTCAACCCTATCATAGGCATTTCAAGATTCAAAAGTTTATTATGTCTAGTTTTACAAATTAAACCGCAAAAGTTGAAAGTTTAATACGATGAGCTTCGAAATTTAAGCATATTTATCACCATTTTCCAATTTCAAGGTTCAAATTAGGGGTTTCAACCCGTTAAATCATCCTTGTCTCAGTACTGAACTTTATACGGCAATTAGCATTCCTTCTTAAAATTGAATTCCAACGTTTAAAGTAAAATCTTCAACCTTTCTACACTTACGAAACTGTAAAGCTTATCGTTAGACAGCGGAACAGTAAGTGACAATGAAACTGTATACCAATTAAATTCCAATCCTGAAACTTCTGGCGTAGAGCTTGAAATTAAAACTCTAATGGTCGAGGCCACATTCTATAAGAAAAATTTTTTTCCGGGTCGATCTGAGACAATTTCTTTTGAGGGTCTCAAAAAAAGGCAGTGTACAACCTTCCTTTTTTACCAAAAATCGACTGCACCAAAATTTCTCGGGAAAACACTTTTTCTTATTAATTTTGGTGCGTAGAATCCAAAACAATTCGTACTTTTTCGATCAGACTTCTCAATCAAAAGTTATAGACTAGAAACCAATTTCGAAAGAAAATTCAAAGGGCTGTAACTTTTGAACTAGTAGCCCAATCTTGGAACTGTTTGAAATTATGGATTCTACAGGCCACATTCTATAAGAAAATTTTTTTGCCGGGTCGATCTGAGACAATTTCTTTTTCGTGGCTCAAAAAAAGGCAGTGTATAACCTTCCTTTTTTTACGAAAAATCGACTACACCAAAATTTCTCGGGAAAACACTTTTTCTTATTAATTTCCAATTTCATTCTTCCAACAATAGGTACGCCTCAATGTGCACCTTTTAAATCTAGGTATTCTAACTTTATCACTGAGCTTTCAGCTCTGAGTGTCAATCATTATCTTCATATTTTGGCTTCAAACTTCAAGATTCGGCGGTTTTGATTACATTAACTTGAAGCTACATTCTCGGTTGGAAATATCCAGCGTCAAGATTTCACTTAAGTTCCAGCCGTGATTTGGTAAAAATGTTCAAAATTTTAACTATTAAATGCCTCCAACCTTTGTTTAAGAGTAATAAGAACAGTTACGTGCGAGAAAAGAATGAGGCAACATAAAATTGCATTCTCACATTAATGCCATCGGTAGCTATATACTAGCCTTGATTTCATTTCACCGACTTGTACCATGGATTCTATGAATGGGGTTGTGCTACTAACCCTTGAGAATTCAGAGTTCATTTTATGAGCACTAGCTAGTTTATCAAAAACGTCCAAAAATTTTTATTTACTCTAAACAGGTAGAGATCTAAGACGATTCCATGATTCGTTTCATGCTTCGAGTAGACCAAAAGACAAAATATGTAAGCGAATGTTTTTTATTGAAATCTGTGTAATTCTTGAGAAAAGTAAGCTCTTCGTGTAGTTAATGTGTAATTGTAAATTATAATCTCTTCAAACTACCAATACCAATACAATAATGTGCATTACAAAACTTACCAATTCAAAGTAAAGACTTCAGTCTTGATTTTGCAGATGCAGATTACACCAGAAAACCGGAAGTTAGCAACAAATAAATTAAATACGAAAGTAACCGTCTTAACGGAATTTCTGACTTTCGGTTTTAATCGAACTTTTCTTTGAATTATTGTAATAGCGGTAGATGTACTTTATGAATGCAAAAATTATGTTTTGTGAAAGTTAAATTTGCACAGTAAAAGCCTGTCAACTAATTCAGAAATTGCTTTTTGATGACGCAGTACACTAAAAATTCAATAATATCAACAGACAACTAGGATCCCGTCGATACGCATATATAAAAGTTGTGAAATGTTCCTCCGATAATTGTTTGTGTGGGTAGGTAAATATCTTGAAAGTAGCTGTACAAAAGGTCAAATGTCTCGTGTGGTCATGGAAATCTAAATCCGTTTTACTTTTTATAAGAATTCCTTCTTCTTACATTTTTCACAAATTGCAGACAGTTTCTAAATCTGCATATCTTACGAGTATTATTCATAAGGCAGCTGTAACCGATGCGTCCAAAGTGTTGA